AGACCTGGGGTCTGAGAGTTACACAATTTCCATTCTCTGTACGTCTACATGTGGCAGAATTGATATTAAATATTGATATTAAATTCCTCTTTTAATCAACATATACAGCAGGAGGAGCACATTTTAATTTCATAGCCACATTTAATGTTACTCTATTTAAATAAGATAATGTTTCACTTGATAAAATTACAAGAATAAAGGAAGATGTGTAGCACAAATGTGAAAAGACCCTGTAGTGTGCTGCTGACCTGCAGTAGGAGATGTATTCTGGCTCCTGAAGAGCGGATGTGGCTGTATGTGCGCTCCACACGCTCGCTCCGCTCCTCCAGGTTCAGCAGCATCTCCTTCTTGCCTTCCTTCCTGTCGTGCAGCGGTGTGGCCCAGCTCTTCATCAGGCTCTGCATCTCCTCCACGTTGTCTTTAGTTCTCCGCAGACGCTGCTCCAGGTCACTCACCGCCTCACGCACGTCCTGGATGTACTCCCAGATCCCTACAACAACACAGAAGCAGACCTGTTAATGCAGGAAACACTGTATATATAACCCATATCCAGTCTCATGCTGCACAGGTTTATTTGTGGCAATGGACAATCACCAAATGTTCATTCATAGTAAGAATCATTAGACTATTGTGCAGAGATCATATTCCACCAAGATATTTAGTAAATTTCCTACTGTAAATATATCTAACCTCATGTTTGATTAGTAATGTGCATCACTGAGAGCTTCATTTGGACAACTTTAAAGGAGATTTGCTTAGGATTTAGATTTATTTAAACCTCAGATTCTAGATTTTCAATAGTTTCATATAATGTAGAAATCCCAATTTACAGAAATTGACACTTATGTGGGATTATGTGGATATTTTTGCCTAGGGTCACATTCTGTATATAAAATCAGTATTAAAAGTGGGTTAATCTATGATCATCATATACTATCATCATAACCATATACTGAATAAACCCACCTACTGCCTCAACAACTAGTAATAAGCAGCAAATTAAGAGTTAAAATCATATTTAATGGTTTACCAAGATTTGTACATTAAAATTAAAAGAGTAACCCATTTTTTTGACCAAAATGTTCTACATAAGCACACTTCTCCAGGCTTTGATGTAGATATAGAGCTGTTGTAAGCAGAATGTTCCTTCTAGCTGAAGGATATGAGTGAAATGAGTGTTTGTGCTGTTCGCTTATGAGCCTGCTGCAGTGTTCAGAGTGTCTGCAGGCTCAACAGTGGATATATCTCTACCTTCACTTATCCAGCACAGGTTCTCCTGGGCTCCTTTGAGCTTGTTGTCGATGTCGGTCAGCTGGCCCTGGACCAGTGGCATCTCCACGTCCAGCACGGAGCTGATGATCTTGTTGTACCAGCCGGTGGTGAGCTCCAGGTTGGCCACATACTGCCACAGGAGCTCTCTGCTGGAGTAGATCTCTGCGGCTGCATCGGGGATGATCTCAGCCTGTCTGGCCTCCAGGTACTTCACCTCCCGGAGCACCGACACCAGCTACAGGAGCAGATCAGAGACTCAGCGCACATCCACACAACATTAACATGCTATCAGAAGCAGAAGGCTGACCTGCGGGCTGAAGTTGACAGAGAGCAGTCTGGATCTGGGCTCTCGGGATATCAGCGGCTTGTTCAGATTAAACTGCGACTTCTCGGCCACAGAGCTGGTCCAGATGTCATACAGTTTAGATGAGTATCTGCAGATGACACCACAGTCATCACCTAAAGTTTCCATGCAACTATTTTATGCGCATTTTGGATTAAACGCATTAAAAAATGCGTGTTGGAAATGCCAAGATGTGTATGCATTTGGAAAATAAATGAGAAAGATTTCCCACAACACAAATGAATGAGTAGGACAATATAAGATGTAGAATATAGCGATCTGAGCACTTTCTTCCTGTTGGATCTTCATGGTATAAATCACCATAGTCTGTAAAAGAGCAGCTTGGACATTTTCTCAAATGCATTATGGCGCCTTCCTTTATGAGTGAATAAATGATTAAAATAAGCGTGTTGAGCGATTTCATTAAGTAAGCTGCCCTGCAAAAACAGTCAAAATAATAAAAAAACAAGACAATATTCAGCCTGTGGGGTCTTGTTTTCGCTTTAAAATGAGATTATTCTGCTTCCCCCATTGGCAGATTATGTTGCTTTAATGAAAAAATGCCTTCATTTACACATATTATTTCAGAAAACAATATTTTTTCCTTGTCTAGTAAATGTTGAGATATTTAGACTTGAGTCCAAATGAAGTAAGAAAGAATATTGTGTAGTGTCACAAAGACATGATCACTGTACTCCGCTACAGCAAACACATCTCTGAACTGAACTTCTTGAGTATTGAAACCTCAATGTCAAACACACGTACCATTTTAACTGCACTACAGCTTTGTTATTGGCTGGATGTGCGTGGGAATGCTGTACCGTTGGCGTGTCGTTCATCACGAGCCTGCACGGGTCCCTGTACTGTAGTGTAATCTCTTTATAGGCCATCATGAGAGAGCAGCCCTTATTGAATTTCTGCTATGAGTTTGATGCTCTTATTACAGGAGCAGAGCTGTTGTCCATGAAATCAAATATCTCTTTGCTTCACAGCAGTCGTACATCTCCGTGTCAGGATATAACGAGAGCACATAGCAATAACTGGATTGTGTTTACGCAACAGCACTGATTAGCATCAGCTAACGAGAAGGTTTAATTTCAGACTGGAGAGCACACAGATCTGGCCTTTGGGAAATGCATCATTTGTTTCTCATACAAGGGAAATTGCACGTGAAACACACACACTCACACACACACACACACACACACACACATATACATATACACACATACACACGTTCAGGGTTACACAAGAGCGATCACATGTTGTCCTGCGTTAGCTACGCTCTACACCCCATTGTTCATCCAGCACTATTGAGGTCTAGCACATAATTGGAGAAAATGAGACCCTGAAGTAATAATCTACAGACACTGGTGCCTTAAATAAGCAAATAAATCATCTTTATTTGTTTATTCCATGTAAAGGTCCCTCAGCAACACCAGCCTACAGTATCTTCATGTTCCAGCTTGTGTTCAAGCGTACAGCAGAGAATATTATACTGCAGGAGTCCAACAGAAGGCCTTGTATATTCACTGAGACGCGACGCATTCATTTGAACAGACCGGCATCATTCTACTCCACACACTGGCTAAATTAAAACGGTTCATCTGTGACTGAAGTTAACAACTGAGACGTAGAATGAAAATAAATGATTAATAACAGGCATTCAGGAGGGCTAATGCACTGATTTGACGCTCATAACATATTTCTTATCGTTATTATGCCCTCATATTTTGAGCACATTGTGATTCATGTCTACTCTGCTGTAATTACTTTTAAATGGTTTTAAAAAAAAATTTGCAATGCAGCAAACTGATCAAAACTGGTTGTTAAGACATTATAATGGTTAAAATGGGTAACATTTTAGTTTAGTACCGATTCCCACTGTTGACTTCTGGCTTATAACCTGCCGATTATTAAGAATTCGGATGTTTATTAGAACTTTAAAAGTATGATCTCATTCTAATTCCTAATTCTCATTCCTAATCCTATGGCTTAATGTACTACCTTAATCAACTATTAATAAGCAGAAAAGTAGTAGCTTATTCAGCAAACATCTTAAATAATAGTTTGTTATCATTATGTACTGAACTTTATATATAAATAGAGCTGCTTTTTCAAATATTGACAAAATCATCATATTAGTATCTGCATTTAATAATTAGTAATTAGTTCTGTGTGAATCTCAGTGTCCAAAATGATGTGCCTCAGGGCTCAGTTCTAAGACCACTGCTTTTCTCAGTCATTCAGAAACATGGCCTTTCCTATCCCTGCTGTGCTGATTCAATGATATCTGCTCATATCAGAACATCTGATGAACATTTCAGCTCAACCATCCTATTGCTTCATCATCAGTTCTCCATCATAGCTTCCCCATATCACCCATCGTTGCACGTGCACACTGAAGCTGTTTTGCAGGGCTGAAATGCGAGCTGCTGCTATATTTCTGTTGTTGTCAATGGAAGCGCCACATTACTAAACTGTCACAAGGTGCATGCATTTAACGCTCAGCAATGAGTATTTATAGCTTTAATAGTTGGAGAGTTGGAGTGTTTTTAGATCACCTCTCAGAAAAACACTACAGTGGACACTCGCCCTAACTGAGCCAATCTCCCTCCACAGGCGCGTGTTCTGCAGACTGGACAACTGCGGTGCTCTCTGACAGGCCTTCCAGACACAGTAACATCACACCTCTGCAACTGATCCAAAAGCAGTAGTAAAAGTGCTCTTTAATGAGCTGAAAAGAGCACATGTCACACCTCTGCTCATCAGTTTACACTGGCCGACAAAAGCTGCACTCATCAGATTCAAAGTGTCTACAAAACCCCCTCAGGCTCTGCAGATCTTCACCTGCATGCACAACTGATGCGCTCTTCACAGTTCTGCAAACAAACAACTCACTGTGGTGCAGAATAAAGAGGAACAGAATCATGTCTTTTTGACCCACTTGACCCTTAAACCTCTTTTCTGTTTTAATTTTTCTGAACATAAAAAACTGTGTTATAATAACTGGGAGCGATCGAAGAACTTACTGTCCATATCATACAGCTCTCCCATTGATCTGATTGCCAATTTCATAAGTCGTTTTAGACATGCAGCTACTACAAGATATACCTGCAAATGCACTAGATGAATTAAACTATGCAATACATTCACATAGAAAACCCCTTTTTAAACTGTTTTAAACTGTAAGAATATTTTATAACAGCCCTGTTTATACTGTATATTCAATTAAATAAATGTAGTCTACAGTAAGTGAATGAAAGAGACTTCTTTTAACAACATCAATAATCTGTTTATAGACTCACTGTTTGAGCTGCCGCATGAGCTCATCATATTTCTGCATCATCTCCTTTGCATCCACAGACTCCATACATCTATAATAACACATATAAAGAGTTTATTTGAATAGAGAAAACTCCAATAGTCTCCAATAGACTCAAGACATCAGATATTTACGGGTGGTTGATGAATCTGAAGTTATTGTAAAGAGTCTGTATGCGTTCCTGCAATTCCTGGACAAACTTCAGTCCTCCAGAAACCGCAGGCATGTTCTTAGAGACAGGAGAATAACCTGGAAGACCGATAAACACACGTCAAAAATGCAAGTCAATAACAAATGCGGCAAAGATGAGGCTTGTCAGTAAGGCAGACCTCGGGTTTCCTCCATCTGCATCTGCTTCTTGAAAATCGTCTTACAGTCTTCCAGCTGCTTGTCAAACAGTTTGATCAGGATGGGATATCTGGCCTGAGCCTCGGCTGCTATCAGCGGCTGCTCCAGCAGTCTGCCAAACATGTCCAAAACCTGCCAAGCAGAGATTGGGTTTGCTGTCTTTTAACAAGAAGATGAAAAAAAACACACTAAACAAACTAGAGCAGTGTGAAAAGCTGACAGTGTGATTCTGCTAAAGCCAGTGTTGAGCATAAATGAGCTCACTCCTCACAGATCTCTCTTTTACAGGAATATTCTCTACAGGATGCTGCACAGATCTGCAGATACATTAGATCAGTCAGTACCACACAAATGATTTGTTCACTCAACTTAACTAAGTTAAGTCATATTGTTGCATTGACTCATTTTAGTTGTATTGACTTAATTCTCTAAGTTTTCTCAACCTTAAATGTTTAGTTAACAACATTAAATAATTGACCCAACTACTTATTTCAAGTTAACTGAGTTTGCAAAATGTAGTTTTAAAAGGTTAACTTATATTATCAAACTTGCCAAGTTTAAGTGCATTAACTGTTTCAAGTTCTTAAACAGGCTTGAACAGCTCTATTTGGAATGAACACATTCATTTAGATTGAGTCTGGTGATTTTGTAAGGGTGCGAACCTAACCATGGCATAAACAATAACAAACAGATAAAGCAAACATGAAAGTGACATAAACAGTGCTTCATGGTTTTCTGAAGAGTCAAGCAGCGTTGAATTGCTAATAATAAAATGAAACGCAAAAAATAAAACACCACTGTATAGTCTTCAGTAAAATGATTCCTTATTAAAGGTATACATGTTTGTTCCAAATGTGTGTGCCTGAATGTTTTAAACACGTGCAAGTAATAAACTTTCCATGCTGAAATGATATAGTGTGCAGGCCTAAAACAAACCTTTTCTACCAATCACTTGCATACTTTTAATATACCATTGCACTTATCAACTGCAAAAATCAAATACACAATAATGAAAATATGCTCGGGCTGGAATATTCTGCTCATTGTGGGTTCAGCTTCAGCCTTAAAGCGTGTTTTATTCTCCTGAGGCTTCGAACTGAGCTCTGTTAAGGATCTGTGTGCATTCCGCTCTTTAAAATTCAGCCTGCGTTCCTGATTGGAACTTGATAATACGCAGGTATCTTTAACTGATTAAAAGAAAGAGCACAGCAGTGAAGCTGTCTGTGCATCATATATAAAGCCTTTGCTATTTCCAGAAGCAGGAGCATGTGTGCAATCCCACACCAAAAAAGGCTGCTGTGGCTGTGTGATGTTGCTCACCTTGAAGGAGTGTTCCAGACCTGAAGCGTCATCAAAAGCGTTGCAGAAGATGGCTCCCAATCGCCTGTTCGTATCATCCACAGTCAGCTGGAACTCTGCGAAATCTGATTCAAACTCCTACAAAGAGTCCAGTCAGCTTTATTTCTACTGCACGGATGCTTTCAGAGCAGATTCACATCAATAAACATCCAAATATAGGCTTCTGCCCGTATCAGATGTTCCAGTTGTGATGAATAGCTGAAGCTTACTATATGCAAAAGTTTACTTTAACAGATTTAACAACCAAAATATCCTTAGTGTGTTGATTATTGTAAACACATCTTCAGACTAAATCAATCTTTAGACAAATAAACAAATGCAAAAGGATAAGTTACTAGATAACACCTACAATACAATAAATTCTCATTAGTAAATGTTAATGAATTAAAATTGACTGTGAAAATATCACCAGATAAAATGATATGTTAAAGTTAATATAAATATACTACTCAGCATTAATAGTTATTAACTGCATTTAATGAAACAAATACAGCTTATTTATTTATTTATTAAACATTAAATAAGAAATTAAGATTAGCTAATGCTTTAGTAGTTGTCATTGCATTGTCTTTAGTTAAATTAACTGTTGTTGACAAATGACAAACCTTATTCTGCACACGTAACAAACAAACAAACTATAAATATAAGGCATTCAAAAGTCAATAAATAGAATTTTCAATGTCATAGGCATCGAATTTATATGAACTATTAAATCTTCGAGCATTTGTGCTGTGATGAACACCCACTGAAATACAACAATCTGAATATGCTTAAAGGCACTCTAAAAGATTAAATAGTAAATAATAATTTACCCCCATCACATCAAAGGTGTACATGTGCATTATGATGATATATAGAATTATAACTATATCAGTCTATCAAAATTACACAATTAAAGAGGAAAACTTGATCATATATGAGACAAAATCAGAATGTGCTTCAAAGCTTTAAATGTGCTTTTAAAGTTGTTAATCAGATCAGTTTAGTTTAGTGTTGATTCAGTTCACTTTAATTTATTCAGATCAGCAACAGTGTCAATGTTTTATTCAAGCCCCATCAGTCATGTGTGTTTTTACCGTGTTTGCTGCCTACATACCATATTATTAACATCCAGGCAGTCGTAGGGCTTCTCTGAGAAGGATTTGTACGTCTGCAGGAAGTCTTCATGCAAACGCTGGACAATCTGGCTGAGAGATTTCCCCTGAATGCCTCCAAACTCGATCTTCTCCAGCCTCATCATATCCATGACAGTGAGCAGCACCGTCTAGAGCAGGTGAGAAAGAGCCAGACGGACGTGTCTTCATATATATCCCCACATTCTGCATCACTGACACGTGAACACATTACACATACTGAAGTTCCCCAGAAGGCCTGTGTGAGCTCAGGGTTGGTGTGCTCTGATTAATGTCTTTTTCTTACTTGAAAAATGCTTCTTGATTTAAGAAATTTTAGATATTTAGACTAGAAACAAGACAAAAGAAAAAGCTTTTTTGCAGCTCAATATCTCACTGAATTTAAGCCTTTGTAAGACCCTGCAGACACCCTGAATACTCAACAACAATACCAAAAATATCACATATATCTCCAGTATCCTGTAGCCCTATAGCAATGTCATATTCCTCCAGTATCGTCAGTGCCCTCACCTCAATAGTTCTGAGTCTCTTCATGAAGTGATCCAGGCCGACGAACACCATGAGGGGAGAGAAATCCCAGGGCTTGACTGGGTCTTCGTTCTTCTGGTAGTGGCTCAGGTTGGCTCTTCTGTCCTCATATGTGTTCTTGAAGTGTGTCAGCAGGTCTACAGCGGCCTGAACACGCAGCAGACTCTCCAGAACATCACCTTTCAGGATGTCATCCGGGTTCAGGAAACTCCGGGCCTGAAAGCAACACTCGGGCCTCAGTAAAGCTTTACAGAGATCTGTTCAGATGCAACAACCTACGCTACATCTAGCAAAGCCAAAGAAGCATTCAGAACGAAAAGCTATTATTGGATAAACACTTTAAAACGTCAATCAGAGTCATCACAGATGTTCCAGAGCAGAAGCAGACGAGCACAAATGAACTGTTCACCTTAAGAATAAAGATAGCAGACAGAAACATTTCCTGCAGACTTCAACGAATCATTTTACAAAGTTCTGCAGGAGTTCACTGGTATTTATGCCGCTGTTTAACATCAAGAAAAGGCATGTATTGAACCATTTTGAGTGTGTGTTGTTAGTATTGTACATGCACATTCTCATCATTGGCTGATTGTTTGTGCTATAATTTGCACTGGTTTCTACTCTGTATTAGACGTTATCAAAATGAGCAGCTGCATCTGTGCTCTCTTGTTCAGTAGATTCACCACAACTGCACACTCACACTGGCATCTTTAAAGCATTACACTGTCATTGTGTTGTATTTTTGGTTTGTTTATTGACATAAAAGCAGAGCATTACTGAGCTGAAGTCTACCTGCTGTATGAGGAGGTTGCAGATCTCCTGCAGGAGCACAATGACTCGGGCTGGTTTGCTGTAGTATCTGCAGTTGGCCCAGATCAGACACACCGTGTGCATGAGCGGAGGGATCTTTGCCTTCAGCTCAGTGAAGTCTGCGTTCTCCAGATCCTCGATCAGCCTCTCCAGCGGCTTCAGGAAGGTTGTGATGTTCTTCGACTCGTTATGAGCTTAAAAACACAACAATGCCACTCTCTCAGAGCCCTACAGTCCCATTTCTTTCAGAAGTACATTCATATTTATAGATCTGTTGGAGCTAGCGCACAAAAACAGAAGAGTGACCCTGAGCTGTTTTTACTGAATGTTCAATGAGGCTCGGAGGTGACTTGAATTCATTTACAATCATTATGACAATCCTATGAGATTAATGCTTTAAATGTAAAGTTTCACAGAAGCATAAAATATTGACAAATAAATTAAATTATGGTCAAAAAGGAGACTGAAATGGTCAGTAGGAGATATTTATTGCTACTCATTTTTATTAACTACAATAAAATCTGACAATATTGTGTCCAAGTTGAAATAGCTTGATGTTACCATCTTAGCAAATCAATATCCCATTCATAATCATGCTGATAACATGCACTTGTGCTTCTGATGTTGCTTAATTATTTACAAAACTAAAAACCCATGGTAGTGCTGTAAATCCTGTGATGAGGTCTAGTCAGCTGAAATTCTGCAGTGCAGCTCCAGTAATGAACCCAATCACTGAGGCATTCTCCACACAGTTTAATCATTGTGTTTTAAAGGCAAAGTTCAGCCAGATAAGTCACTTCTGAATTTTCAAACCTGTGTTTCTTTCTACTGTTGAACACGAAACAAGATATTCTGAAGAAAGCTGGAAAAACAGCCATTGACTTCCATAGTATTTTTTGATTAGTTCCTAGTATGGATGTCTATATCTGCTTATTTACAGCATTCCTCAGGATACCTTGTTGTAGTTTTTTAGACATTAGTCTTAAGGTTATCTATAATCTAGTGTGTTTGTGTACAAACCTTCCATGACGTCCTGGATCATTTTTGCAAATGCAGGATAATAGCTGCTGTCCACAGCGAGCAGAAGCTCCGCCAGCGTCAGGACTTTAGAAGACTGGAGCTGCTGTTGGATTCCCTGAAGATCAGCAAGCCTGTAACACAACATAAAGGACATCATGAAGACCTTTCAATGGACACCGGAGTGACTGAGGGCCAGTGCGTCTCCAACCTGTTTCTCCAGAACTGTATCTCTGCATGTGGAGTGGGATTTCGGCCCTCCAGCAGCGGCTCAGACGAGTCCTTCTTCAAGACCTTATAGACCTGATGACTCCAGTCAATCACCACCGTCTCCATTGAGTGAATCAGGCTTTTATCCACCACATGAAACCTGCAAACGTCATTCAGTGTCAATGCAATGCAGATATCTCAGACAAAACGAGAGTGCTTACTCCAAGCCCTCACCTCTTATCTAACTGTTGACTGCACTGCTCGAACTGCTTGAATCCCAGAGGTACGGGCAGGTGGGTTTTGCCTTTGATTTGACCAGCTGTAACAAACACGTTGTTTTGAAGGGCGTGAATGTGTCGCATGAGATCCTGAGAAACAACTTTAGGGAAGTCTCGCTGGTTGTTCAAATTTGACAACACCGGCTCCACAACCTGCCAGACACAGGACAAGAGGATTGTGGGTTCATTTTGCATCTCCATGATAAACTCGGCAAAAAAATTAGTTTCCAAACTTCAAAAGATTCCTAAATCAAGAAGAATGTTCAAGAAAAGTAAAAATACTGTACTGTTTTCAGAAGTAATGAGTCAAAATAAAGTGAGTTTTTCCTTAAAATAAGCAAAATAATTATTGTCAACTCTGTTATTGTTTAGAAAGCTTAACAATACATTTACCAACAATTAGTAACAGAATCCAACGTTAACTATCACTCTGAAGCATTCTGAATTTATGTTGTATTAATAATTAATTTAGTTTACTATGATTAATAGATTTAATATCATTCCAGAACTAAAGATGTCCTAAATATTCCTGCATGTGTGAGTCATGTATGTGTTTATTATTATAATCATTGTGATTATATTTCAGTCAGGAGGACACACAGCTCTTCATATCTGACAGGATCGTCCTGCTGTCTCCATAATAACGCCGTGTTTACAAGAATCCACCTGCGGATGTTATAGCGACGGACACTGAGGCAGAACTTTGACAATAGTTCATAGCTAAAGCTGAGCAGATTGTGTGTCTCTTAATGATCAGGTTGCTTTATTATATCAGTCCAGTTCTAGTTTTGTGTGCTGTAATTGTTCTTTCTCAACATTAATCAAGTAAAGTTGTGTAAGATAAGTAAACAGGAGTATTCTGAGTTTCAGAAATGGACACAGCTTGTATAAATGTGGCTTTGACAACAAACAAGAAGGACAGAAAAGTTTAAAACAAAACAATACAACTCAGTGGAAAATAAATCAAACCAATGAAGTAAACATTCTTATTATTAGTCAAAACTGTTGATGAATTGTGGAAGAGTCTGAAACACTGCCACAATCAAACACTTTTTCATTGGAAACTTAACGTTACTTCATGAACGTTTCATCATCATGTAAAACCTCTCACAAACATTCATTACATGCACGGACAATTTGAAGTTTAAAAAAAGTTTTGATAGCATGTTTAGAGATGAAGTATATGATCCTACTGATAAGGAAATTAGCACATTTGGTTTCTGTCGACTGTATGTAAATGTGAGTTTAACTGTTAACCTGCAAGCACGAACTCAAACTAATGTGTGAAGTGATTGTTCGGACCGATCCTTTTAAAAGAACCGACTCGAATGAACAATTCTTTGGCGAAACGGACGTCACTATTCCTGATTTAAACAATCTAAAAAGAGCATGAAAGATTAAACAGTTGAAATAATTAATAAATTTCACTGAAAACCTAAAGAATTTAACACATTTTCTTTCTAAAGTTCATTCTGAAGTAACGTCAACAACTGTCATTTAACATAAGTTACTCAGTAAAGAAGCGCTGGGTTCCACACAATGCCTTTATTTTGTCCCAACGCAAATCGTTGAGGTGAACTTACTCATATTTACAAATTAAAGTGGATTGAACATAACACAATTCATTTGACTTAAAAAAACAGCAATTGTTGTTTCAACTTATTTGAACAAGTTTGAAAAAGCAGCAAAACTTATTTTTGAGTGTATGAAATCCCTCAACGGTTTTTACGAATCACACATAAAAATAAAACTAACAAGTGTCAATGAAAAGCTAAATAATTTCACAAATTCACTTCCAAACGCTGATTTTGAAGTAACTAAAAGTCATTTATGAAATCCCTGCACAACGGTTTTTGTGAATCGATTCAAAAGAGCCGTTTCGGAAAAGAGTCGACTCACCTTGTCCACCAGTACCGAAAATTGCTCGAGAGGAGAATAACACATGTCTCCACTGAACAACTGGGTCTTCATTTTATCGGCGGTCAGTGCACCTTTACCCCGCTTCACGAAAAACACCGCTTTGCTCTTAACGGCGGCGGAGAGGCCGAGAGCGGGTACGAGCTGCCCGGCGGAGTTGACGGACACCGAGAGAGTCGAGTGCTCGGACTGATCCAGGAACTCCTGAATGACTCTCCGCTGCTCCTCCGCGGAGACGCATCTCTCCCAGCGCTCGGGCTTCACGTTCAGCGCCTTTAGCACGCAGTTCTCCAGATAATCCAGCCTTTTATCGGTTATCAGCGGTTCCTGCTCCTCCATCGCGCCGGTGAATCTCTCTGACTGACAGACCGAAACTGTCCGTTAAACCGCCGTCTGAACGGCAACCCGCTGTTTACATTCAAACACCTGCTGTCGCCATGGAGACCGAGTCGGACCCCCCAGAGCCAATCAAACTCTCTCATGTGCAAAATGTGTTCGTTTCAAAATGGCGTTTAGCTTTCTTCACAACTTTCAGCAACTTCTGAAACCTTCTGCAGTCAAAATGACCAAAACATACTCGCGTTTACCTCTAAACTAAGCTTTAAACAAGTTTTTATTTAAAAACCTGATGATTTGGGATCATTATTCAGTTTGGGAAACTGTAGGATAACAAAATAAACAGCTAAGCAATCATTATTTGTGTAATTTAGCAGCTGACTAGATGACACTGGTTTTACTCACTCATTTCATTTATTTATTATTTAAAATACAATTCTGAACATGCAGTTTTTCTAGAAGAAAAAAATAACCTTCTCATCTTCAATTAAAGTAAATAACCGTGTAGAATGGAAAGCTGCACATGGATGGATTTGCTCTTCAGGGTTTGGACTTTTAGCAGTGGAAATGAAACCAATCTACACTGCAAACGCGCTACAGAAATAAAGATGAACTGAACTGAGTTTAAAAGGCAATCGAGTTTATTACTTTAAGAAACTAATTTAAAAATCTGTGTTGGGGGTCACACATCACAATGAGTTACATAATAACATTACTTTTCAGTTCCACATTACTTTAAAAAATAAGTGGTAATATTTTAGTTACATTTTAGTTCGCAGAAAATCCATGTATATTTTATACGTCATGTAGCTCTGGGGTCAGGAAGTGCTCAGATAACATTTTTACTAAAATATTTTATGTATTTTTGGAAGATAAATGAAGGTTATACAGTGCGTTGTTGATTGCAGAGAAAGAAAAAAACAAGTTCTGAAAGAGATCAAGCCTCGGCCAGGTAATAAAGAGTAGCGCAAAAGCAAATTACTGCATTACTGTAAAAAAAAGTAACTGAGCAACACAACTAGTTACTTGTTTTGCGTTACTTATTTACTTTGTATGGTAAGTAATGCATTACTTTTGTGTTACTCTTTATTACCTGGCCGAGGCTTGATCTTATTCAGAACTTGTTTTTTTTTCCTTTTTATTGCAATGCATTAGTTTCAAAGGGAACTTTCCCCAACACTGAAAAACAACAACACAACTTTGCTTCATTGACCTTCTCTAATTATATAGTGTAGCCTAAAACAGATCCGGTGGGTTTAAACAAGCTGTTTTATGTTTTAATGCTTGTTTTTCCCTCAGTTTTTTTTTGTTTTGTTTGTCTTTGAGTTTTATACTAGCATTTGTGTAATGTTCAGCTCTGAGCACACTGGAGCTGTTTTAATTGCATGTGCCTCAGTCTCCTGCTGCGTCAGATAAGCAGCACAGTGACAGACATGAAGGAAGCAGATCTCACGTAACGTCTGTGAGAAACACTACAGTCAGAACTTCCCCAATGATTATTTGATGCATTTTACAGTTCAGGCCTGAATGAGAAAGGACAGCCGTGTGTGTGAGAGTGTGTGTGTTAATGTTGGTTTATTGAAGGCTGGTACAGTAATACAGTGGTGCAGACGCTCATATCATAACATCATTCAGTGGCCAAGCACTACAGGAGCTTTTTGTCATCTGAATATGAGAAATAAGACACAAACCCTCCGTTTCCTGGAGGTGAAGAGAATTAATAAAAGTAGAGGAAGAAAAAACAGCACAGGTCTTCAGTCCAAACATAGAAAAATAAAATCTTTACACAAATAACACTTTACACACTCTTCATCTGGATTACAGCCCAAACATCTGTATCACAAAATACTGAAAGCACCTGATGGTGTGCTGATTCTGCAGTTCCTACATTATAATACAATAGATTAGTCTGTAAAACAGTACTGCAGTCAATACTGAGTCTCCAATGGAAAGCAGAGCTGATGTTGGTCTTTAATGCCCTTGCAAAGTTCATTTGTGCTGGAATTAAAGATTATTTCAGTGTGTGTGTGTGTGTGTGTGTGTGTGTGTGTGTGTGTGTGTGTGTGTGTGTGTGTATGTGTGTGTTTCATTCATACTGACTTTAAGGCTTTACAGAACAGTGAAGAAGTCAAAGGCACCGAGAGCAGTGAACTATTGCAAACTGTAAAACAAAATAAAAACACCTATATTTCATTTATTTAATAAACTCTATTCACAGTTTAAGCTTTTAAAGAGCTGATATTATATAGAAAGTCGCTCCGCTGTTCAGTGATCAGTTTTAAAAATTCAGAACTAAAGTTAAAAAAAAACAGCTATAAAAGTTCAAAAGTCAGGTCCCAAATCTGCCATAGATATAATAATGCACAGTGCACTTCACAGTTGCAGAAATATATATATATATGTAAGGTTTAGATTCTTCACAAGTGCTGGTAAAGTGGGTCAGAAACGATTTGCTTCTCAGGAGAACATTTAACTTTAATTAATACCTGAAAATTACTCGTCCTCCTGTGAAACTTTAATTATTATTTACATATTTCTGAAGTGGTGTTCAACAGATTTCTTCATCAATGGTTTTAATAACTCAGTTTTTTGGCTTTGCCTTGATGACATCACATAACATTCATTCATTCATTCTCCTTCAGCTTAGTCCCTTTATTCATTGGTGGTCACCACAGCAGAATGAACCGCTAACTATTTCAGCATATGTTTTACACAGCGGATGGCCTTCCAGCTGCAACCCAGTACTGGGAAACACCCATAAACACTCACTCACTCATACGGCCAGTTTAGTTGATCAGTTCCCCTATAGCGCAACCTTGTTGGCAGAAACCCACGCCAACACGGGGAGAACATGCAAACTCCACACAGAAACACCAACTGACCCAGCCGGGACTAAAATTAAATATAAATGTTAAACAGCACAAGGGAAAAATTTAAAAAGAAAGAACATTTCACAGGAGGACTCATGTTTTTGATCAAAGTCAGAGAAATCAGCAGTGCATGTGGAGGATTGCATGAAAATATCAACAATTGGAGGATTGAACATGACTGACGGATCTCACACATGAAAAGGAATGTCTCATAAATATGCATAAATAATATGCTAATGATAAGAAAAGGAGCAATTAAATACATCAGAAAAAAAGATAGAAACAAACAAACATGTTTGTTGTTGGTTGAGTAGTCATAATAATAGAAGTGACAGGAATTATGATAATAATATTAGCAAATCTACAATGCAGAACAGACTTGGGGGATACAATACAGAGAGAAATATTTAGAGTATTGCTTCTTTTGGCTTGATCATCATCAAATAGTAATCTCCAGTAATAAAAGGTTTAGTTTGTTCAGATTTAGTTTTTCTCTTGTCTGAGTGAATAATAAAGCACAGATCTCTCTGTGAATAAATTAATAATGTGGCGTAGAGCGTGGCGTACACTAGCAGAGGTGCTCATATTTACACTCGACTAGAGAGAATACAGCGATATAATATAAGAGGCATTAACACGTGTTTCTTCCACACCACACATGTGCAGCAAATGACGTGATGATGAAGTGTGTATGTACAGCGCTCAGTCCTGGAGTTCTGCTGTTTCCAGTGATCTAAACATTCCCAGAACCCTCAGGCTGACTGTGGTAAAACTGTGATGAAGCACACTGAGCTCGTGGTCAATAAGCCAAAACTCCATGCTGTTACGATGATTATTATCAGTTATTTCCATAACGACAGATTTGTTTAATCTCCAATACAGCCAGGCCATTATAAATGTGTGCGGGTTATACGTCTGATCACAAGTTTCAGCAATACTGATTCAATTTGGTTAAATATTTCTCATTGAAAGTGTCAATATTAACAGAGTCATGAATATTTAATGAGATTTTAATTACAAACTTAATTATTCATTCATTCATTTTCTTTTCGGCTTAGACCCTTTATTAATCTGGGGTCGCCACAGCGGTATGAACCGCCAACTTATCCAGCTTTTATTATGTTTATTTTGTTTAATGCAGCGGATTCCCTTCCAGCAGCAACCCATCACTGGGAAACTCCCAAACACACTCACACCCACACACACACTCATACACTACAGCCAGTGTAGTTGATCAGTTCCCCTATAGCGCATGTGTTTGGACTGTGGGGGAAACCGGAGCACCCGGAGGAAACCCACACCAACACGGGGAGAACATGCAAACTCCACACAGAAACACCAACTGACCCAGCCGAGACTCAAACCAGAGACCTTCTTGCTGTGAGGCAAACATGCTACCCACTGCGCCACCGCGCCGCCACAAATTTAATTAGTTTTACTTAATTAGTACCATGTCATGAATATTTAATGAGATGCAAATGACAAATTTAATTTGAATATTTTTCAGAGGAAAAAATTTGTTCTTTGTAAAAGTGTCAATAGGCTTTCAAATGATAGTGTTGTTATTATTACATTTTATTACAAATTTAATTAGAATTTCTATCAGTGGATATCCACTTTTTTCAGTAGGACAAACTCAATTTGACATTAAAAGTTTTCTGTAGAAGTGTCAAACACTGTCAAATCATTGTATAATAGCGTCATGAATATTTAATGAGATTTCAATGACACATTTAATTTTTATTTATATTTTTGTGATACATTAATTGTCATTAAAATGTCTCAGTAAATGTTTCTATACTCTGTCAGATTATTTTGTAGTGATGTCATGAATATTTAATGAGGTTTTAATTACAAATTTAATTTGAACAAAAACAGTTGCAGTGGATATCCAGTACAAACTAAATTTGTTGTTAAAATATCTCAGTAAGTGTCAATACTCTGCCGTCAAATAATTTGATCACAGGTTCATGAATGTGTCATTTAATTTTAATAACATTGATTGTGTACCACTGTTATTAATGTCAGGGAGTATATTAATGATGCTGTGGTAAATATTAGGACACAGTAATAATGTCCTGGTGAAGATCATGTTGATGATATGTTACGGTATTGTTGAGCTATAATAGCCACCGATGTGCTGTTTATATGTCTTCTTCATTCAAATTTCCCAGTAAAAGTGTCTGTGCTCTTAATATTTAATGACGTTTTAATGACAAATTCAATTTGAGTATTTTTTTCTGTGGAACAGACTAAAGGTGTCCTTGAAAATCTCATTAAAAGTGTCAATACGCTGTCAAATCATTTTTATAGCATCCTCATGAATATTTAATCACATTTTAATGATATTCAATTCGTACCACTGTTGCTGAGCTCAGGAAATATGATGATGACGCTGTTATAACACTCACCACAGTTATAATGGCCTGATCATGTTGATGACAGATTTATGACCTGTTATGGCAATGTCGAGTTGTCATAGCAACCGTTGTGGTGTCCATTTGTGTGTGTGTGTGTGTGTGTGTGTGTGTGTGTGTGTGTGTGTGTGTGTGTGTGTGTGTGTGTGTGTGTGTTCTTCACCACTGGTCCAGGTTGAGGCTGATGTCCGCCGCGTCCAGGAACTCGGAGCTGAAGATGTTGTGTGTGTGTGTGGCTGCGGGCGGGACAGCGCTCTGGAAGGTGGAGCCCGGCGGCGTCAGATCCAGCCACTCCATGCTCTCCCAGGGGGACTCGCAGAAGCCCAGACCCAGACCCTGAGCCTCCAGCACCGCCAGCTTACCAGCAGAGGGAGACAGCGGCTCCATCAGCAGCTCCGCCGGCGCGCTCGGGTCTGTGTGTGTCTGCGTGTGTGTCTGAGAGTGTGTGCGGTGCAGCAGCGCCTCCAGCTGGACATCTGTGTGAGCGTCGTATGGTCTGTGGAAGCGGCCGCCGCTCGGGGAAACTGAAAGAACAGACACAACTGTGGTTACAGGAGGATCTACCGTGAGGAGAAGGAGAAGAAGAAGAAGGAGGAGGACAAACAGCGACTCAACAGCAGTCAATGAGTGAACAACACCTTCACATGCAGAGCAGCAGCAGCATTTCACACATTCACTTTCTCCTTTGGGGTTTAAAGTTACCACAAAACAGAAGATGAGATCGTCATATGAGAGGAGATTCCCATACTGTGATGCTCAACTGTCATACAACGAGAGACACACTCATAACCCCACCATGAGGGACTGATAGCACCACCATACACGACTGATAGTCCCTCCCTAAAAGACTGATAGCCCCACCCTAAAATAATGATATTCCTGCCCTAAATGACTGAAGTGGGCGGGGCTAAAGCAGGCCTTTGTTCACTGTGACTCTCTGATTGGTGGAGTTTCAGAACAGCATCATGGGTAATGTAGTTTTTTCTGCTGACAGCTTCATCAAAAGCACATCCCAAACCGTTTCCAAACCTCAGATCTGATCTTCAACTGTTCATATGGAGAAAATGGATGTGTTTGTGGTGCTGCGCTCTTATTTGAGTGCAGAAATGAAGCTGCGGGCCTTACCTCCGCTCTCAATGAGGACGTCCAGAAGCTCATCCATCTGCTGACTGCGCACCATCTGCTGTAAAACATCACACACTCATTTAGCTCTCGCTGTGTCAGAGGCGTTTACCATCAGTACTTGCAGAGACTTCTGTTTCAGTGTGTTGATGTTCAGAATATTGAGTATCGGCAGGGCTTTATTTTGTGGATCATTCCCTCATTGAACAGTAATGGGGGCGTGGTTTAGAATATTAATATGCAGTTGCTATGGAAACATTTAGATTGACGTCAACAGAAGGAACGACACTCCAAACATAAAAACAAATGCTCAGACTCTCATTGAAGATTAGCAAATCATTTCCAGCAGGCTAAAGTGCCCTGATTCATTATTCACCTTAGGAATAACAGTGGGAATATTGATTTCACACAGACTTTAACAGTGCTGTATGATGGTGATGGGAGAAACGAAGCTTTTCAAAGAGTCGAAACCATTAAAGCAATCGGTTTACAAAAGGATTCACTGTGTGGAAGTGTTTGAGGGGACACCTGGTGGTCAAAACAGTGTAAATGCAACAATAAACTCAGATGAAACAGGCATTAGAATTATTTTTATTTCAAATATACTGCAGAAGTTTAACTGAAGGAGGGCTACGCAAAATCATCTAGTGCTTGCTTTGAATTAACATTATGTTACTTTCCCCTTCGGCAGACTATTTAGCTTGTTTTAAGTAAAAACCCCCTTAATATTTCTGAAAACAGCACTGTGTTTTCTGCTTGTCTAGAAAATGCTTCTTGATTTTAGAGTTTTTAGATATTTGAACTAGACACAAGACAGAAAAGCATCTTTTGCGATTAATAAAAAGATTGCATTGAGATAAAAGTGTAGGAAACAAGACTGAGTGCTGTAAAAAAACAGCAAGAAATCAAAATATAAATAAAATACAAAGAGTGCACAAGACTGGAAATGCTGAAGGCCCACACATCTCGTGACTCGAGACGGAGTGAGAGCAGGATCATCTCATGTCAAAAGGAAACACTAGATTATTTCTGTTCCCCACTGGCAGATTGTTCTGCCTGTTTTTAGGAGAAGCGCTCTTCATTTTGACTCATTATTTCTGAACACAGCACTGTATTCTGAGCTTGTCTATGAATGCATCTTGATTTAGGAATGTTTAGATGTTTGGGCTAGAAACAGGACAGAAACTCTGAGTAAATCCAGCATCTTCTGCAGTGTGTGTGAGGCTGAGAGAGGGCCGAGCGGATCAATAGTATCTGGCTGCAGATTTCCACATGCAAGCTGAGACATGCAGACTCAGACACATGCACTCAACAGAGTTAGTGACATCATGGTGATGGGCGGGGTTAGGGGCGGAGCAGTAAAAAGCATTGCATGCAGTCTCAGCTTGCATGTGCACCAGGTCTGCAGCCAGACGCCTCTGGAGCGAGATTCATTTATAATGATTTACCTGTTTCACAGCATCCTGGTAACACGGCGGCCGCTTACTGACAGATGCAGGACAATCTGAACTACAGAAGATGGCGGGAGACGACGGGGAGCGAGCCTCCTACATCAGGAGACAAACGTTAACCAGGAGCGAGAGCCAGTCCAGACAGAAGAAGAAGAAGATGACGCTCTCTCATCAGTGTGTGTGTGTGTGTGTGTGAACATTACTGAAATCTATCAGATGACATCTCAGGATGCTGATTTACAGCGCATCTGGAAATTATTCACTGTTAACAGTTAAAGGGTTAGTTCACACAAAAATGTCAGTTCTGTCATTATTACTGTCAGGCCGTTCCTGAGACCTCCGTTTCTTCTTCAGACACCAGTGAAGATCTTTTAGATCTGTGATCTCAAACTCAGTTTCTGGAGGATCGCAGCTCTGCTGATTTAGGTCTAGTAGTCCTGAACTCGATTAGTTGATCAGCTGTGTTTGATTAGGGTTGGAGGAAAACTGTGCAGAGCTGCGGCCCTCCAGTTTGAGAGCATGTTTAGATGAAATGCTGGAGCTCTCTCGTCCTCCATACACTAATCTCCTATTTTAATGTGTGCTGTGCATTAACACACCTCACATGTCTTCAGTGGGATTCATTTGTAATCCTACATTATGCTTTTCTTTCTGCATTTGCCCCTTGTAACCAGCAGGTGTCCTCATTGTGCTGTTTCTGACCAGTGAATCCAGCTCGTGTACTATATCCAATCAGTCAGTCAACTGAGGGATTGCAGTCAGTTTAGTGGAATAAAAACAACACATGAGCATGTGCTGGACAGATATATTTATATCATAGTTTCTCATAGTAAAGCTAATAGTTTTCTGGATAATCATTATAAGTGAGCAATCTTTGATGAGGGCGTAACAGCAAGCTTTAATCTCCACACGCCCTTTATATTAGTGTGTTCTGATTGGCTGTTAGAGTTTTTCCAGCGACATGGTTTCTCTTCATCTCCATCATTAAAGCTGTGCGTGTGTCATGTCAAGTGTAAAGATCTTCAACTTTCACACGCTCATCACTGTCAGTCACACAGCAGTGGACCAATCAGAAGAGCTCGGAGGCGGGACAACCATTGCAGCTTCTGTTTGATTGGAAAGTTGGCATGACGACTGATTTATGTACTGTTGTATGATGGCGGAGGAGGCGCTCATTGTCCTGATCTCCTGAGTTATAGGATGCATCTTCAAGTGCCTATAACATTCATTCATTCTCCTTCAGCTTAGTGCCTTTATTCATCAGGGGTCACCACAGCGGAATGAACCGCCAACTATTCCAACATATGTTTTACACGGCGGATGCTGGAAGTGCTCATCTCAGATATTCACTCTGGTTTGGTTTGAAGTACACCAGCACTTTAATAGTGGCTATTATTGAGTGGAGATCCTGGATCAGCAGATCAGGACATGTACATGTGATGTGTGTGAGAATGTGTGTGTGTGTGTGTGTGTGTGTGTGTGTGTGTGTGTGTGTGTGTGTGTGTGTGTGTGTGTGACGTACTCTCTGCGGTGCGGCGCTCCTGCTCTTGGCTGCAGCTCTGGAACTGATGCTGTGTTCTGACGGACTGCAGTAAAGCTGAACACTTCTCTGCTCAGACGAGTACGAACAGCTCAGAGGCGGCGCAGAGCTCTTCTGCTGGTGCTGACACACACACATGCACACACACACACACACACACACGCACACATACACACACACACGCGCAACATATTCAAAAAGATGAAGACAGCACTGTAGTATATATGCATGTGTGTGTGTGTGTGTGTGTGTGTGTGTGTGTGTGTGTGTGTGTGTGTGCATGTGTGTGTGTGCATGTGTGTGTGTGCGTGTGTGTGTGTGTGTGTGTGTGTGTGTGTGTGTGTGTGTGTACGTGCTCACCTGTATGCTGCCCCGGCTGCCGCTGGTGTTGTTGTGGTTGAGTGTGTGTGTGAGCAGGTGTGTGTGCGCAGGTGATGTGTGTGTGGACTGAGGGCTGCTGCAGGGTTTATTGAGCGGAGACTCTTGCGGAGAACACTGCGGACTGAGGAACGCACACACACCTCCAGACGTCTGCAGCTCCACACAGCTGGAGGACAGCGGCTCCTGCTTGACCACCGCGCTGCAGAAGGGTGTGTGTGTGTGTGCGTGCGGCTCCAGCCTCCGCCTGTGCAGTTGTGTGCGCAGCTCCTCCACCTGCCGCTGCTCCTGCTGCAGCCGCCACATCAGCTCCTCGATCACCTGACACACAACACACACACTTAATACCCACACACACAGCTCAGAGAACACACACACATAAAACACACACACCTCAGAGAACACACACACATAATACACACACACACCTCAGACAACATTCATTCATTCTCCTTCAGCTTAGTCCCTTTATTCATCAGAGGTCACCACAGTGGAATGAACCACCAACTATTCCAGCATATGTTTTACACAGCGGGTGTCCTTCTAGCTGCAACCCAGTACTGGGAAACACCCATACACACTGATTCACAAACACACACACATATACACTTCAGCCAGTGTAGTTGATCAGTTCCCCTATAGTGCATGTGTTTGGACTGTGGGGGAAACCGGAGCACCCGGAGGAAACCCACGCCAACAAAGGGAGAACATGCAAACTCCACACAGAAACACCAACTGACCCAGCCGAGACTCAAACCAGCGACTATCTTACTGTGAGGTGACAGTGCTACCCACTGCGCCACCGTGATGCCCACCCCAGACAACACACACACTTAATACACAAACACATACACACACACACACACACACACACACACACACACACACTTGAGCTGGGCTGAACTGAACCTTCTGTTTCTCCAGCAGCATCTTGTCCTTCTCTGCGTCCGGTGTGTGTTCAGTGTGTGCCGGAGACGGCTGCGTGCCGAACGGTGATACGGTGGCGTCGCTGAAGCTGTCTGCGCTGATGGAGAGATCAGAGGAGGCCGGAGACACAGGCGGAGTGGAGCTGCAGAACGGGTGGAGGCCGGCGGAGGGCGGAGGAGGCTGGAAGGAGGACGCTGGGAATGTGGAGGAGCTGGGATCCACGGGACCCAACGGAGAGCCGCAGCCGGAGTCTCTGAAGGGCCGCAGACGCTGGATCAGGGCGGTTTTAGTACCAGACACTGGAAGACCACGCACACGCAGCTGCTGACGCAACTCTGACACCTGCAGCACACACAACAACAACACACACACACTTTTTATTCAGATATACTCTGAGCACCATCACACACTCTTACAGCGGGTGAAAACAGAAACGTTTCCTCGGTAAAAGTGTAACATGTCAACAAAACCAAACAAGACCGGACAATCTGACCTCAAGCAATGTTTACACAATGAAATGCTAATCATTCACTTTCCTTCAGCGTATTCATCAGCGGTCGCCACAGCGGAATGAACCGACAACTATTCCAGCATTTGTTTTACACAGCGGATGCCCTTCCAGCTGCAACCCAGTACTGGGAAACACCCATACACACTCATTCACACACACACTCATACACTATGGCCAGTGTAGTTGATCAGTTCCCCTATAGCGCATGTGTTTGGACTGTGGGGGAAACCGGAGCACCCGGAGGAAACCCACACCAACACTGGGAGAACATGCAAACTCCACACAGAAACACCAACTGACCCAGCCGAGACTCAAACCAGAGATCTTCTTGCTGTGAGGCCACAGTGTGACACCACTGAGCCACCGTGCCGCCCCATGCATGCAAATGATTGACTCTATGATGTGTCGCTTGTGTATGTGACTTGTTCTTCACACATGTGTGTAGCTCTCTCTGCACATTACCGTGGTTTATTACCCGCTGCGCTCTCAGAAATCAGGACGGCTGTGTGAGAGTGTTAGTGTTAAACACGCTCTTCAGATTCAGGTGTGTGTGTGCGTGTGTGTGTGCGCTGTCACCTTCAGGTCATCCAGGTTGGTGGGCAGCGGTGCGGGCCGGACGGGGCTGATGGAGGAGCAGTAGCTGTTCTTCTCTGGAGATGATGAGCTGCTGCTGCTGCTGGTGCTGGTGTGAACACTGGAGCTGCACGAGGCCTGCGCTTCACTCACCTGCCTACACACACACACACACACACACACACGCACACACACAGACACACACATGGTCACAGACACACACACAGATTGTTAGGATAGGACAATATTTAGTTGAGACATAGCTCAAAATGAAAGCATTAAGGGTTGGCTTCTTCTGTCTGTGCGGTGAGATTTATTAGTGCCAGTTTAGCCAATTATATTTCAGCATCGGGTTGCCAGATGATGAAAAACAGCGTAAATCATTCATTCAGTCAGGAAGACTCTTAAAGCGTGTGTCCATGACTGAAATGCGCCCTCTGGTGGACAGTAGCAGACTCTGAAATGAGATGCAGATTCAGAGTTCCACATGAGGTTATTAATGAGCAAATATTATAAATATTAGGAGTGTAAACACTAGGTGAGCAGCTCACAATGTGATCCGGTGTCCTAACAACACGCTACATGACGAGATGCGCAGTGATGAGCAGTTTGGCTGTTTGCAGCAGATGAAACACAACAGAAATGTAAACACAGACATTCAGCAGCAGAGAATAGAGCACGCACTGCACTGCAGCACAACACTGAGCTTTATCATCTGATGAACACATATTAAAGCTCTTGAACAGGATTAATGTAGATGCTGGATCACTGATATGTGTTAGTTTGCAGTTCTGAGGTTCAGTTTCAGACGCTTTATTGTATTCTGCAGATCTGAGCTGAACTCTCTGCTGCTGCTGTCAGTAGTGTGGTATTAAATGTCCTGTCAGACTCACATTATTAGTGTTTAACACTAAAGCACATGAGCTGAACCTGGGCTGATCATTGGCAATGTTCTGCTGATCAGCTGTGAGGAACAGACGCCGTTTCTGATATATTAATTTCAGGTGTTGGTCAGAACAAAAACTCAGAGAATATGGAGAATTTTCCGTCTGTCATGTGCCGCTGCTTTTAGATAGAACACAGTTCATATCAGCCTTTACGCTCGATCGTCAGACTCGCTCTTGTTGGTTAATCTGGCAACCTGCGCTTGCATGAGTATCGATCCAGGAATGCAATACCTAGTTGAACCACTGGGTGTCTACTTACACACTGCAGCTTTAATGATTTTTAACTTGTAGTGTGTGTGTGTGTGAGGGGGGGGGGGGGGGGGGGGGGGGTCTGGTAGCTGCATATAATGTATTTTGACTATTGCAAAATATGCATTTCAATATTTATCAGCTGTATTGATTGTGAACTCACTTGTGTGTGTGCGGGCCGAGTGTGTGGTAGCTGAAGCTCTGCTGTGTCTGCGTCTGCATCTGCGTCTGCTGCGTCTGCATCTGCTGCTTCTGCTGGCTGAGGATCTGCAGCTGCAGGAAGAGCTGCTGTTGCTGCAGCAGTCGCGCATACGCTGAGTCCATCTGCGGCGCTGGAGAACGCTCCGCCTTCTGGTCTGGAGGAATGTACTGGTGATACTTCAGCTTCTTCACTTTGGGCTTCATGTCTTTGGGCTTCTTGTGCCGGTTCTTCTCAGACATCTTAGACTGCCGGTAGAAGAAAAAGAGTGTTCAGACAACTTTATATGATGAGCTGCTGGTGGATTTATGACTACAGTTTATTACAGTCTGCTTTTATTGACCTTGACTATTGCAGGAACGGGAACCGGTGGGTTTTCCTGGCTCTTCGTCATGTTCTCGTCTTGATTTTGAGAGCTGCCGTCTTTACTCTGAGAGCCCTTCAAGAGACGATTCATAATTAATGAATAATAAGAATAGCTGCTGTATGACATGATATACTCCTAATTGGTCACACTTTACTTGAGGAGGTGTTCATAAGACTGACATGAAACATTAATCATATAGTCATGATATGAGAAGCTGAGTTTAAAAAATATAAACTTCTGATGCTTGAAATGCAAATAAAAAAGAAAATGTAAAGCACAAGCTGATATATTTGACACTAAAACACCTTGTGGAACAATCCTGACATACACGATCGAATGAGCCAGGTTTAACAGCATGTGTTAACAGCATGTTTCGATCATTAAGTGATGTTTCTGCATATCAAATATTACACAGCAGCTTTACAATGTTAAACAGGATCACAGAAATGACTTCTGCTGTTAAACATTTCCATAAGCAGCTGCAGATTTATGCTTATATATATACACACAAAGTACATTGTATTTTATAAACCCACACGTGAGATTATTGTTATTAAACATGTACACAATTTACAGCTTTCACAGAGCTTCAATAAATATTCCTAGCTTGTTCTTGTGAAAGCAGCGATAGGTCATGATGATTAGATGCCAGCCTCCTGACAGATTCAGCCAATGGTTTATTATGTCTGCTGCCAGAAATTGGCCAATCATTATGATGCCTGCAGCGATGCTGTAAAAGCCACAACACACGACTGACTGTGAGAGAAACATGCTGGCAGTATGAGCACTTCTGGGCTGAGAGTCAAAGAGCTGTCAGAGACTCCTAACAGCTCCTCAAGAGCCTGAGCAGAACACTGCAGCTCACTAAACAGACACCAGGGGGCAGAACGACACAGTAAATCACTACCAGAACACTGCAGCTCACTAAACAGACACCAGGGGGCAGAACGACACAGTAAATCACTACCAGAACACTGCAGTTCACTAAACAGACACCAGGGGGCATGACGACACAGTAAATCACTACCAGAACACTGCAGTTCACTAAACAGACACCAGGGGGCAGAACGACACAGTAAATCACTACCAGAACACTGCAGTTCACTAAACAGACACCAGGGGGCAGAACTACACAGTAAATCACTACCAGAACACTGCAGTTCACTAAACAGACACCAGGGGGCATGACGACACAGTAAATCACTACCAGAACACTGCAGTTCACTAAACAGACACCAGGGGGCAGAACGACACAGTAAATCACTACCAGAACACTGCAGTTCACTAAACAGACACCAGGGGGCAGAACGACACAGTAAATCACTACCAGAACACTGCAGTTCACTAAACAGACACCAGGGGGCAGAACTACTCAGTAAATCACTACCAGAACACTGCAGTTCACTAAACAGACACCAGGGGGCAGAACTACTCAGTAAATCACTACCAGAACACTGCAGTTCACTAAACAGACACCAGGGGGCAGAACGACACAGTAAATCACTACCAGAACACTGCAGTTCACTAAACAGACACCAGGGGGCAGAACGACACAGTAAATCACTACCAGAACACTGCAGTTCACTAAACAGACACCAGGGGGCAGAACGACACAGTAAATCACTACCAGAACACTGCAGCTCACTAAACAGACACCAGGGGGCAGAACGACACAGTAAATCACTACCAGAACACTGCAGTTCACTAAACAGACACCAGGGGGCAGAACGACACAGTAAATCACTACCAGAACACTGCAGTTCACTAAACAGACACCAGGGGGCAGAAATACTCAGTAAATCACTACCAGAACACTGCAGTTCACTAAACAGACACCAGGGGGCAGAACTACACAGTAAATCACTACCAGAACACTGCAGTTCACTAAACAGACACCAGGGGGCATGACGACACAGTAAATCACTACCAGAACACTGCAGTTCACTAAACAGACACCAGGTGGCATGACGACACAGTAAATCACTACCAGAACACTGCAGTTCACTAAACAGACACCAGGGGGCAGAACTACTCAGTAAATCACTACCAGAACACTGCAGTTCACTAAACAGACACCAGGGGGCAGAACGACACAGTAAATCACTACCAGAACACTGCAGTTCACTAAACAGACACCAGGGGGCAGAACTACTCAGTAAATCACTACCAGAACACTGCAGTTCACTAAACAGACACCAGGGGGCAGAACGACACAGTAAATCACTACCAGAACACTGCAGTTCACTAAACAGACACCAGGGGGCAGAACTACTCAGTAAATCACTACCAGAACACTGCAGTTCACTAAACAGACACCAGGGGGCAGAACGACACAGTAAATCACTACCAGAACACTGCAGTTCACTAAACAGACACCAGGGGGCAGAACGACACAGTAAATCACTACCAGAACACTGCAGTTCACTAAACAGACACCAGGGGGCAGAACGACACAGTAAATCACTACCAGAACACTGCAGTTCACTAAACAGACACCAGGGGGCAGAACGACACAGTAAATCACTACCAGAACACTGAGTGAGGTCAGAGTCACAGTGACATTATTACCAATTATAAATTCTCTGCTTTTATTCTTCATGGTTCAGGTGTTGTATGTGTGTTGTCAGGTGTAATTGTGTGTGTGTGTGTGTGTGTGTTTCAGCATCTCACGTGTTGACGGCTGCTGTCTGCTGTGGGTGAACAGGATCCGCTGCTCTTGTTCTCCAGGAGCGACTCTTCACTGCTACTGTCCTCCTCGAACGTGTACGAGTCCTGCTGCAGCCCATCATTCACTGAGACACACACACACACACACACACAAACACACACACAGATCAATTCCAGAACTAAAACAAAGACAGGAGAAGGCAAACAGCAGACTGATGAAGATCTGAACACAGCAGTGTTTGACACACACTCCGGCTCTGTGTAAATATTTGAGCTCAGGTCTACGTACGCACATGTGTCACTGCTCGTGTGTGTGTGTGTGTGTGTGTGTGTCTGCAAAGCAAAAGTGCTCAAAAGATAACACACAGCCCAGATTAAAGCTCATGTGTGTATGTGTGTGTGCATGTTTGAGAGTGAATTTGTATTTGAGTGTGTGTGTGTGTGTGTGTGTGTGTGTGTGTGTGTGTGTGTGTGTGTGTGTGTGTGTGTGTGTGTGTGTGTGTGTGTGTGTGTGTGTGTGTGTGTGAGTGCGTGTGTTTCTGTGTGTGTGATTTGATATAAAAGCATGTCAGTGTGCCAGCAGGGACTGGTTTCAATCAGGCTTTCAGCACTGGACACACACACACACACACACACTGATGTTGGACTGGTGTTTGGGGTGTTATATTACTGAACAGGTCCAGCAAACACCTGATCCTCCACTTTCTCCATGCTCCATCATATCAGACAATGTGAGTAAAGTAAACGCTCCTCTGTCAAATCACTTTACGCCATCTCATTCATTTACAGACAAGAAGAAGAGGAAGAAGAGGAGGAAGAGGAAGCAGTTTAACAGACACAGTCCAACATTAGGATCTTAACCCTCTGTTCTGTCGTCTTCTTCAGGTCAGTTAAAGGATCGTATTG